TCTCTCTCTCTCGTCTCTCTCGCTGTCTCTCTCTCTGTCTCTCTCTCTGTGTCTTTCTCTCTCTATCTCTCTCTCACTCTGTCTCTCTCTGTCTCTCTCTCTCTCTCTCTCTCTCTCTCTCTCTCTCTCTCTCTCTCTCTCTCTCTCTCTCTCTCTCTCAGATTAACCTGAGTATTTGCTGCATGTGCTTCTGTAGATCAGTGAGGAACTAAGCTTTTCACTAGAGCCGGGCTCAAACTGTCCACTTTCTCGTTTCATTTCCCTGACACTGATAACCAATTGATGCAGGATTGTGCTTTCAAGGGTAAATTATCAATATAAGACATCAGCTGTCACCCTTGGCTTTGAGCAGAAGGTTGGAACAGGTCCTTGACCACACTTTGCACTTACAGAAAAACACTAAATCTTGTCCGGTCCCTCTTTGCATTTCTTTGAAGTGTCTCTTTAGAACAGTGTTCCTCTGCAGAGCATGTTTGTCCTCCCTTTGCAATCCAATTTGTTATCTTTCCTCATCCGTCCTAAACCCTTCTTCTTTTTCAGTAATAAGATTGGTGCTGTTYAGCTAGAGATTTAAAGGCTACACACACAAACAGGAGCTACTTCTACCCCACAATTACAGTCCTGCCACACCTCCAGTTATCTGTWATCTCCCTCAGTAGACCAGAGTGGAGGGTGAACAAATTACGGAGACGAGTGAAAAAGGCAGTGAAAGGTACCACTGAAGTAACAAACGTCACAGGATTCAAAGGACAAGAGGAACATAAATCAAATAAAAGATCACAATGGTGTGAAAGAGGAGACAACCTCAGAAACTGTTGGATTATATTTCGTGTGGGAGGCAAGCAGTGTTGAGGTGAGGAAAATTAATGTTTATAAATCTGACTGACAGATTGATGAGCCTTTAAATTAGCAACTAAGAAAATACTGCAGCACTACCAATGTAGATAATGTACTATTGATTAACTTTGAAGAAAAATCAATAAATTAATAATTATCAAAAATAACAGTAAATCCTCATCGTGTATTTAAGATCTTATTCTGCTAAACATAACTCTCTCACATCAATTTGGGATGTTTTGGTCCAGAATTGTAGCCTCACAATGGATTTGGCACAGCTCAGTGCCAGAGAGTCAAATCTAATTTGTGTGGTTATCGCTGTCAGTTCAGGGCCCGCAGCGACTGTAACGACAGAAATACTGTTTGGATTAAACAGATAAAACCCATTTTCAGCTCTCAGGCCTGAAGTTTATTTCTGTTTCTGATTTACTTTTTTCTTCTGCTGGGGTTTTTGTTTGCTGGAAGTGTTGTTTTTCTTTTGTTTCTTTGTTTAAATTGTTGTGACATAATTAAATAAGTATTACTTTTGTAATACATTTTGTTGTGGCCTGTAGCCTGCCTGTTTTTTTCTTTTGTGTGTGTGTGTGTGTGTGTGTAGGCAGCCATAAGAGAACAGTCACTTTAGGAGAACAAAGGATAAATGTAAAATTTTTTTGCCTATTTTGAGTGTTATTCTAACAGCTGCAACTAAATATGGGTGGATTTGATGATAATCAAAACAAATGTTAAGATTTAATAAGTGATCCCTTAACTAAAATAAAATACTTTAGTTAAGGTTTGTTTTTATGCTTAATCAGTAAGTTCCTTTATCATCATGTTTTGCTTGCTCCAGGTTTTGGTTTTAAAAAAGTTAAGTCTAAAGAATTCATCAAGTTAAATATCACTAGCGTGAGCCCCGCCTATACCGTCCACTGTTATTAGAGATGCACTGCATCTGTGACAACATTGAGGATTAACAATGGCAACTAGCAGCAAGCCCAACTGGATCTGTCACAAATTGTTTGTATTCTTTATATAATAAATTAATTTAATTATTAACTATGCTAATTTCATTCYATAATAATGTAAAACAGCTAGATATCTACAAGAAAAATATAGAAAAAATGATGGTCTAAAATAGACTTGAAGTCAGTCAATAACTTATATTTTTAACTAGTTAAAAAGTTATGACGAACTAGTGATAAAGTACATTTATAATTTTTTACCTGCCATAAACAATAATAAATATTTACCAGTCGACACTGGAAATGTTCATGTACCAGTACTTTAAAGGAGAAAACTTGTTTCCATCGTKTCAACATGTCTGCTTTGTCTAACAAAAACCTAAAAATAGTTACTATATAACATCATTTTGCACTATTTAAATATTACATAATGTAGAGGCTAAACCAGCTTGTAGTGTTTAATAATTTGTGCTAAATTGTAGCATGATTCAGCAGAGTGCTACAATCTATAGCAATCTATGCTACAGACGCTAATATCTGTTAGCCAATTCAGTAATTAACAGTAATTACATCAGCTTTATAGGCTTATTTTAATATTAAACTGTTAAATTATTAGCTTCAGTTTTTGTCAGATCACATCCATACTGAGGTAAATAAGATTAAATCTCCTTACTTGTGAAATGAGACATTTTCCTGTTCCTCTTCTGTAGTGATTTTCCAAAAGGGGGCCAACAGGGGGTACTAGGGGGGCTTCAGAAAGCTGGAGAGAAAACAAGAAAACACATGCAAAAATAAAAAATAAAATAATCTAATGAATATTTTAAATCATCAACATAAAATCAAAGCTGTTTCAATCAATATTTAAAAATATAATTCATAATAATATATTGAAACGATGGACTTGCAACCTGTCCAGGGTGTACCCTGCCCCTCGCACCGTGACTGGTCAAAGCCACAGCTGTGACAGTATAGTCATGTGGTCAAGACTCACTCCGGCTATTCTAAAGACCTCCATGAAAGCATTTTAGACTTCGTGTAAACATTCCTTTGTCGATTTACAATGCCACAATTCTTCCTGTTATTTAYTGTGTGGTTACCTGGACTACCTGTTTCCAAATGATGTAAGGTGATTGAGTATCATCTGCAGCAAAAAGACAAAGGCAGGTGATAACATTTTTATCTGTGTTCATGTGTCTGTAACACTGAACATGTTTTAATGAAAATTGCAGGAAAAATTATTGGATTTATTATTATTATTA